TATGTTTGGCACTGTACTATTAGCCTATAAATCTTTATGGATGTAGACCCAGTTTATCTGTGCTGTTATTTATGCCTAGGACTGACATCTGGCTGACCAGTCATTACCTCTAGGTTATCTTTCCAAGTATGGAAATAAGGTTGGCTATGTGTCAATTCTGTGGGAATGCCTCAGATATTCATGAGTTATTAAATAAAGGCTAGCTTTTTTTTTTTTCTGATTTATGTTTCTAAAGACGAGTTTGGGAAAATAAAATCCATTAAGTAAGCTGGCATGGATTAATGTACCAGCAGTGTGTCCAGAATAGCTCTGCTATACTTCATACCTGAGACGATAGAGGTGCTATGAAGCTGATCCACTTCTTTAGTGAAGTCAGTTCATGGAGAAGGAACAGCTGATTGAAAGTAAAAGGCACAAACAAGATTGATAGAGTAAAGCTTTCAAGCTTTAAGTTAAAACTGTCTTGATTGAAGACATATTCCTCATTTGGCCAATTCAATCTGTAGTTTAGAAGCACTTTTTCACTGACATAAAGGTCTCATACTGTGGTATCTTTAAGTATTCCCTTTTCTCTTGCTCTTCCTATCCAAGAGTCCCATTGGAAGGCAGCAGTGGACAGCTAGCAATGGGCTGACCTCTCTTCCAATCATAACAATGAGCTGTGAAGGGGAATGAGGCCTAGAGGTTCTACAAAAGCTCTACATATGYGTATTCTTAACCCTACCATGCCACACATTGTTTTGCAGGCAGTTTTATCACCCAAAGAGGATGCGTAAGATGACTAGCATGCTTAACAAATGCCAGTCCGTGACTTGCTATGTTAGAAAATTTCATAGATGATAGATATTTACCTATCATTCATTATAGGTAAGTAATAACAGAAAAAAACAGGAAATAAGAGGGGAATTAGGAGAAAATTAAACTGTGGAATTGTTAGAAAAAAATCATACAGAAAATATTCTTGGCTTTCTAGAAAAGTCAGTAAATTTTAGAATTTAGGAAAATGTTCTTATTCTTATAGAATTATAGCATAATATGTTTTATATAKAKAGAGAGAGAGAATAATATGTTCTTGTTCTTACAGAATTTGAATTTCAAAAAGGATGATATGGTAGCAACCTACAATATGGAGTGTTACTCAGAAAATCCAGTAGTTTTTATGAATTCAGTTTGTTTTTGAGAATTTTTTGCAGATTTCATCTTTATTGATTTTTTTGGCAATAGGGAAAGCTGTTAATAAGTAACATTATTCAGGTTATTAATTTGAAGTAATTTGATGGTTAAGAGCAGAAGTGTTTTTAGATATACTTGACAAATCGGAAACATAACTATTTGTATTACTTTAAGAAGCACTAAGCAAGCTACTGAAAAGGTTAATACTGGAATCCACGGGCTCAATAAAAAGTAAAAAATGGACCAAAGTAGGCATATGTTGCTTACATTTTCAAATGACTCTGAATGAGTAGGCATTATAAGTAAATTGAAGTATATCATGGAAATACAAAATAATCTGGAGGATAATGGACAATTTTAAATGGGGTTTAAATATAGATGAATGTTACATAACACATCGAAGACACATGGCATAATATTGTTGCTTCGGAATGGCAAAAACATATATATTGATAAAGCCCTTCAGCCCTCAGTACTCTCCCTTTAAGTCACTTTTCTGACTAAGCAGATGGAAATCTGATTGTAGGACTGCTGGAAGGGGAGGCTGCTTGCAAGAAGCCCCTGACTGTTTGCCTATAATCTTATGGGTGTAGCTAAGGTCATGTAGACCCAACCAAACACTCAAAAACAAAAAGATACCAGTAGTGATTACAGTTGTCACACAGTCTGGAAGCTCTCGCCTTCTTTCAAACTCAGATGTTGATTGTACAGCAAAGTTATTCAGTTAACCATTGCTCTTCCAGGCCCCTTTCACTCATGACTGGTAGATTTTAAGGACTCCATTTACATCACTTAATATAAATGCTCTAAATGTGCTTGTAGTTCAAGCAGTAGTTCAAGCAGTAGTTTCTTTGTGCAATGGATTCTGTTTGGTTGGACAGTTTGATACCTGCCAATGATATAACTGGATATCTGGATATAACTGGATATAACTGGAAGCAAATGAAGCAAATGGATTACATTTGAGGGAACTATCCTTTTTTGACATCTCTCTGTAAATTAAATAGAAACAGAGAAATGAATTGAGGATAACATAAAAGAAGATGGTATGGACAAACTGAAAACTTAAGTGTGCAAGAAATGAAAAAAATGTATGTATTCATAGCTGCAAATCAAAGCAATAAAGTACACAGTGCAGAACTTAGCTGACAGCGCATCCAAATGCCATGGTAGGCAAATAAGGAACTGCTTTATTTTTCCAATGGTGCATACAGCACTGCTAGGTGCATAAGTGCACCTCTTCCTGCTGTTCCTGTTACGTCTAGAAAGTGTCACTGATGGTGCTCACAACGGAGGCCAGAGGCACATGCTGCTGGTGGCTGGTCAAAAGGCTGCTCAGACACGAGTGCTGGTCTTGTGGCTTCGTCCCTTGTCCCTCTGCAGTGGTTCGTGCTGTGCCATCCACCAGATCTTCCTCCAGCAGAGCAGTGCTGAGGCACATCATGAGTCAAGGCAGGTACCCATCACATCCAAACAGTCACTCCTGTTTGGATCAGCTGGCAGAGCCGTCTGCTAATACAAAGAGGGCAGAAAAGCAGGAAGGGCAAATATATATACAAGAGCATTTAAGATAAGAGAGGCAAGTGAAGAAGTGTTTGTGTCCCTCCTGCCCTATTSGCTTCTTCCTGCTGTGACTCCCCTCAGCCCCCTCGCATGCAGATTAGTTTCACTGGCTTATTGCTTATGGCATCATCTAATTCCTTCACTCCTTTGAACCTGCACATTTAGACAGGATGTGTCATTTGCTTCCTGGATATAACAATATAAAATATTCACAAGCATCGACAAAATATCTGGGCACCCCTGGCTGTACATTTTCCTGACACTGGTCATTTAGTGTATTGCTTGGCTTTTAAAATGTCTTTTGCAGCTGTGACAACAGTATTAGACTATTTTTATATGGGAATAGTCTGGTTGTTCTGTCATCACAAAAGGATGATCAGCGTCTAGTTTATCTATGTGCAGACAACATTAGGGCTTCATAAAACAATGTCCCAGGACTACGATTGCTTCATTAAGCTCATGCTACATTGACATAATTATGCAGGAGCTAATAATAGCTCATCTAATTGAAAATAATGATTATAGAGAAAGAACAGTTTTGATTATTGGTACTAAGCAAGCACATATCGTACAACCATTCACGAACATTATGTTACACAGAATATACGTGGGATAATAAAGTGCATTCATTTCATTTCACTCTTTCTCTCATCTTTAGTGCAAGTGGTGTTATTGCTTATTTGTTCATCATAATCTCCTTTCTCAGAAACCAGAAAGGACTGAAGAGAAGGCAACATGAGCTGATAATTATCGAGTAAATTATGACAAGCCAAGTTTTGAAATAACATTCAACGTTCCTCTCCACACACATTTCGGGGAGAATATAACTTAAATAAATCTTCCCTAGGCGCCATAGATGAAACAGTCTGTGTGGCTTTTTTATGTCTGTGTTTGCACTGGTACCCTGTGGGATTAAAAATCTTTTTAAAGTGTGAAGTCTGCCATACATTTAATCTCTTGGTGTTTAGTCTGGCTAATGCGAACATTTAATTCCATTTTGTTCTAAAGCATGTCAATCTCTTCTTTATTCCGTGAAAATAAGACTGGATTTTTATATAGGGATCACTAATTTTTTTTAGCTTTTATTTATTTGATTCCTTGTTGATTAGTATCTCTAAGCAACTACAATTAAAATCCTCCCAGTTTATTCTTACCGAAGGGACAGTTTTCTTCTGTAATATATGAGAAAATTCCTGAGGTCATGAAGTTTAATATATGTATTTTTAAAATGCTCTGAGTATCTCTGGAGGCTCCAAAAAGTTCCCTGCCATTTTGCCCTCTTTAGCTTCTCATCAGTTCTAGCCCTTTTACAGCTCTAGGCTCTGTGCTGGTGCTGCACAGCCTCACAGAGATCATGCCATCAGGAATTTTTAAGCAGATGACTATTTTAAAAAATGAAGTGAGGAGGGAAGATGGGACAAAACATAATGCAGCCATGCAGTAACAGCTATTTGCACAGTGCAAAGTCAGGGCACTTACACAAGCTCCTCTTGAGTCCCTCAGCAATAGCAAAAGTGAGAAAGCAGAAGCAGCGGAGATTACCTTGTGCAAGGATCTCAGCCTGTTGTCTTGATTTAGGAAAAGTTGTCTTTGGGATTGTTTTCGATTGGAAATTAAGTTAGTTAGAAGAATCGAAAGGTTTCCCCATTTATTTCCCCATTGAGGCCTTGGAAGGATCAGACACGTAATTTCCATCCCACTCTTTTCCAATACTGTCTAACTGAGACAGTAAATATGAGTAAAAATATGAGATGTTTCTCATATTTTTGGACCAGTGTATCTAAATTTGGCCATCCAAAACTTTTATATAGTAGCTATCATTGAACATTAACTTTGACATGTTGTAAAGTTCCCTTACACTGTCCTCTTGGGTTCTGTGTGTCCTGGTCTCACCAGCCAGAGTATAGGAATCTCTGTAGTGGCCCAGTTTGTGAACTTTGGTTTCCAATACTGTCTATGAAAATTTGACCAAACGGTTTCAAACATACCTTTTTTTTTTTTCTATTTATAAATCTTGTTCAAAGCTGAGTGTAAAAAAGCTTGTGTAACTTAAATGTAATACAAGGATGAGCAGGACTGAAAAATCAGGAACAACAATGTGTTGGCTGTAAAATACTTTGGCTGATTTGTAGCTATTCACGTGTACAACAGTGCACTATACAGTGCAGTGTGTTGTAGCTAAGCACAGAAGTATGTTGCTCTCACATTAGTAATGCAATTCATAAAAGACTTCTCTTCATATAACTGTTTTCTGCTCTGTACAGAACTGCACATGCAAGAGCTAAAGCTGATGCTGCGGATCAGGCTGCTCAGTCTGCTCGCCAGGAATGTGATATTGCAAGAGCGGTTGCCAGAGAACTTTCACCAAACTTCTACCAACCAGGTAAACTCCCACTGCTTGTTTTGGAGCTGTTCTCCTTTCTTCTTGGAATGAAAAGGTTCCATGTTGAATTAAAAAGTTTATTCTGTTTGGAAGATGGACATTTATACAGAATCAATAGTCGTGTGAAAAGTGTTGGTTGCTCAAGATTTTGTTTTCTTTTTATGGTCATTTGGTGACAATAGTGCTTTTTAAATGTCATGTAAATATTGAATTTGAATATATCAAACATGTAGGTATGCCTCAAATCAATAGCTTCTTCAGATTAATGTCAAAGTAAGACTTTGAACATAAAGACCTATGTTTTTAAGAACATAATTCAAAAAACAAAAAGTTATTTCTATGGAAGTGTAATTAGGGGAAAGATTCTTAGCTTTTTACTGTGCCAGAGAAATCACAACAGCCTTGGTTAAGAAGGGCCTGCGTGCTGAATAGCGCTGTGCCCTTACACATGCACAACCAGGCAGGGCGTCCTCCTCTGTTACAACTAGCTGTGAAGCTCTGAGGAACACAGGTCCCGTACTCACACGGTTACCTCTGCATCACCTCTTTCAACTCTGAAACCCCTTCTCACCCATCAGGTGGTTTGGAAAAGTGTTTATAAAAAGAAGCTGTGTAGTTATTACCATATTTCTCTGGTGTCTTTCCATGAGGTTGCTGGTTTTGTGTACTGAGCTTAAGATTTGTAGCTTAAAATTGAATAGGTAAAATGGAACTACATATGTCCAGTATTAATGTAATTTCCTAAGTCTGTCTGTCTTTCACCTCTCAAATGAGTTGAGCGATAGCTTGTTTTATCTCTCAAGAACTTGTCTGCACTTGTCTGCTAAACAAATTATAACTCAAACATTCTTTAAAACTTATTTTTCATAGTTTCCAACTATTCTGTTGCAGAGAGCAGTAAGCGTATTTTTGGTTTCGGGAGATTGGAGAGGGGTTTTCCTGTCTTTATTTTTTTTAGAACATAAGCCAAGGTCTAGTCAGCATATCTGTGGCCCCATTATTTCTTGCTTTCATCAACTGATGAACTCCCATTTTATAGCAGGAATTAATTAAAAGGAAATAACTGTAAATTAAAAATTATCAAGTTAAGAAGGTATGTTAAGTCCAACTAAATCATAACTGTGATCCTGTCAAAGAAAAACTTGATTATTGAAATGGGAGGGAATTAAAGCACTTGGAATGAAAGAATTTCAAAGCTGCCAAACCTTTGAAATGAAAAAAAATTCTAGAGTACCTAAGAGACCTATCTAGAGAAAACATGAAAATGTTTTAGTGTGAAATCTGACATCAAGAAATCCCCCAGAAAAAGAAGGTGTCAGTTTTCTTTTTACTTGCTGGTACTAAATACCAAATGCCATTGTGGACAAACTGGCTGAGATCTGGGGAGGAAACATGTGGGATTCTCAATCCATTCCTCTCATTTAAAACTTTTAATCTAATTGCAGAAAGGAAGAGTTATATCCTTTCCACAAAGCCAGGTATATTCATACATACTGCTGTAACATAAAGTAAAAAAGTCTTCTGGCTTCTTTCTTTATGTGGAAATGTCTGCCCATTAGGAAGCCAGCTATCAAAACAGAAGATAAATATCTCTTTTGGAATCTAAATTTCAAATTTCCTCATTACTTAAAGTGGCCAAATACAGGATATTTGCACATATTAAAAAAAAAAAAATCCGTCTTTGGATGAGTAACTTTAAGACACCCGAATGCTGAGTACATTTCAGTTATCACAGTAAGCAGTAGCAAAACATCGAATTTATACATCATTGTGAAGTTTTCAAAAATTGGCATGTCGGAGGTAGCTTTCATGCTCAGTTCACATTATGTTTTTCAAATATCTTATTCCCTACAGTACCAAATTAACCCTGATACTCACATTTTGTTTGCTTAAAATTTCTCACGTGATTCTCACCATAAGTGACTGGAGAAGATTAGCATTGACTTTTGTCATCAATGATAAAAATTAAAAATAAATATTTTAAAAAATACTTGTTTCTTCATACAAACAGCAGAAAAGATTTGCTCTTCAAATACCATTTATTCATGATATTTTCATGTTTGATTGAAAATAAGCTAACCATTTTTGCCTAATAGTTGTTATTTCTCAGTTTCCTTCTCTTTTTCTTTTTGCAGTACCTGTATAGGTTTCTGTTAGTGCTACTGAGAGATAATGATAGACATGATACCTCAGTCTCAGTAACTACAGTTAAGAAAAAGGTTTCCATCGTGTTAAATTGTCTTGAAAATAAGTTATTGTGGGAAAGTGTAATTTTTCTCTCTTTGCTTGAATTGCTTAGTAAGTACGCTGTCAGCAAGGAATAAATGCGTGTAACATAACAAGTCTCTTTAAAGACAGAAAAAAATACCTGAACCATAGGAAATAAAGACACCCCTCTGTAAACAGTAGTTAAACAATTCTTTCGTAATGGGTCTTAGCTGCAATACCTGAAGTGTCAGTCTATTTAAACGTTTTACAATCTTTTGATAAAGCTTTTCAGTTCCAGAGTCTCAGAACTCTTCCATCCAATGCCATATAGCCTAGTATTATAAAAAATTTATAATGACAGTGAATATTCATAACTCGGTGTACCATGCCACTTCTCACTTCCCAATTACTTTCTCTCACATTTATTTTTTTTTGCTCATTAAGACATTCATGAGGAACTGCCAAGAGGTTCTGTCTTTGTAATATAGTTTGAGAGGAGATTGAAAGGAGAACAAAGCTGTAGGAAGCAAAGTAGCATTCATCAGGTAAGAATAATAATGTCAATTTGAGTCATGAATATTGAGACACCATAGAAGTCTTGAGATTTAGCTTTCTTAGTAATTAAGTTAATATTTGCATATAAGGAAGCAAGCATGATTGAAAAGTTCGAGGCCATGGTGTAAGTGTTTAGAAGGTTACAGGACCTGTTTTCTATAAATTAATTCATGATAGACTAGGGCAAGACCTGTCTTCTACTTTTGCTCCTCTGGAAAGATTTAACTAGTGATTAACAGCATGAGGATGGCATTTCTTGCAGAGTATATCCTGCTTTTATACCTTTTTTGTAGATATAACAAATCTGGCAGGCTTTGTATAGGCCAGACTTCACAGGAACATTTTTTATCATCTGATAGAATGAATCCTGAGAAATCCCAGCTCTGACCTGCTGTTTCCTCCAGGCATCACTAAACTTGAAGATGTCAAAATAGAACATCCTAGGACAGGAAACAAATGAAAACAGAGTCATTTTCTCATTGAAGGTAGTCATCCAAGGTCAGCTTGAAATTTTCTTTGCTTAGAAAAAACAACAGCAGCTGCTTTGTAAAGCCCTGAGAAAGGTAAATGACTAATAGAAGTACTATATCAAAGGTATAATTCTAAAGAAAGGCTTTTGACACTCAGTAAAAAGGGAAAGATTGCTCTAGTCTCCCATAAGATTAATGGAGGCTTTGACATACTCATTCAGAGTTGTACAAGTCTCTAGGATACAGGCTTATGTTTACCCACTTGCATGAGGAAAGCCTCAAGTATAAACTTGCACAGGCTGGACAGCTATGCCGTAATTGTCCATGTGCATATATATGTATTGCAGGAAATGTATAATGCTCTTTCAGTTTGAATGAGGAAAATTTGCTAAAATTAAAGAGGGCTACTGTAACTTTGCCGCAGGGTAAGAGCAGTCTGGGTATTTTACCATGAAGCAGCTGAGATCTAGAAATTCAAATACGAATTACTTAACAGCAAATTATTAGTTAGGCCAAGCAGCAACCTGAAAAACATACGTGTCTTTCCAGAGCAATTCATTCAGCCTTTGACCTGCTGAACAAGGCATGAGAGAAATCATGAAGTAGGTTGCAGGCCAATGAAATGGTTCAAGCAAGCCTATTCCCTTCCAATATTGTAACTTTTGTGTGACAGGGAGGGCTGAAACTCCCAGAAAAGGCAACAGCAGGAGGAGGGTCCTGCTCATAGACCATTTCAGGTAGATTGTCTTTGCTTTTGACCTGCAGCTAGAAGAGAAGGTAGCTGTACGGACTTGCTTTGGTGGCACTGCTTGTTTTTATGGGCCAGAAGAGAATCTGCAAGTTCTGGATTTCCCAAGTACGTTCAGATGAAGTGTACAGATGAAGAGTACAAAGGAGACAAGAATGAGTTAATCATCTCCATTGCCCACAGTGTAGTTTGTGCTGGGCAACAACCTATATCACTATCTTAAGAAATGCAACAACTGGGTATCACTACCTTAAGAAATGTCTGTTAGCATTTGGAGAAAAGAAATTGAGACATATAGTAAAGGCCTCCTGGGATAGTCCTTCTGCATAAACAAATTGGACTGTAGGAGAAAGGATTCTTTGGGGATGAAGAGTTATTCTGAGACAAATTACACTTAGGCGCATCTTGAGTGATCGATCCATATTGAGAGAGTTCGGTAGACACGATACCTCTTTGCCATTTTGGTAGGTCTCTATCTCTTCTAGCATTCCTTGCTATAAATGTTGTAGCTCAGCCCCGCATGTTTCAGGTAACTGGGAAGGGAGATTAAAGACTAATACAACTTCTAATTTTCTCAAGTAGCCGAAGAACAATGATTCAACATTGAATCAACAGCTTTTATCAACAGCTGAGATGATTAAAACTGAAAGAATTTTGAAGCAGTACTTCATAGTCATCTATTTAAATTTTCTGTTCTGCCTTTTTTCATATTATAGTATTTTCCTTCCTTATATTCACACAGTATTGATAAGTGTAGATTAAGGAAGAAGATTTAGCCAAAAAATACTTTCCCTACATTTAATTTAGTTGAAGAACTTGAATAATGTTATAACAAAATTCTCCTTACTGAAAGGAATAATAATGTTGCCTGCAACATCATTCAGTTCGAAATTTTACTGTTTACTTTTACTGTTTACTTTACACTAGGAGCCACAAAGCAGTTGTTACAGATCTTTTTTTCTCTTTTTCTCGATACAGTTATACTTCTATTCTAGAAAACACTAATATTATTCTAAACA